CCCCGCCGCAGGGAGGGAAGGTGGCACCGAGGTCTGACCTCACGACCGCCCTCCCTCGCCATCCTTACTCTGGAGGAAGGAGACGATCTCCTCCACCGGCCGAAAGCCGCACAAGCCCTCGAAGGGGGTGAGAGCGATGGCCATTTCGGGCTTGTGGTTGTCATCAGGGTAGTGCTCAGGGAACTGGGCGTGCAGCTTTGCTGCCAGCTCCTGGAGAGGAGGGGGCAGAAGAGCTGGGTGACCTCCCCAGGGACATGGGGTCCAGCCAGGGCTGCCCCTGCAGCGGCTCTCCCTACCTTGTTGGGGTGTGCCTGGATGGAGAGGGCGGTGTTGACCGACAGCACCTTGAAGAGGAAAGGCAGGTGACCCTGGAAGGCATCCTTCACCTTCGCCCCCAAGCAGGCAGGGTTGTCGGCAATCCACTGGCCCAAGGTCTTTTGGGGGATGCGGTTATCCCGGATGATGGCGTCACCCCGGGGGTGCGCACCCATCCAGAGCTGCGGGAGACGGACAGACAGACGGACCCCTGAGCCGGGCAGCCAACTGGGATGACTTGGGCTTTTCCGGAGGCTGCTTGGCCCCGGAGGCGATCGATGCAGCCAAGGCAGCTCCCTCGGGGGCTGAGTCACGCCGGGCTTCTCCTCTCCTTCCCCCCAGGCAGCCCCAGCGTCCCCTGGGGCTACAGGGGACCTGGGACAGGCAGGGGATCTGTACCCCTCCCTGGGCTGGCCAGATGCAGGACGGCAAGAGCTGCAGCCAGTTGGGATGGACACATGGATGGAACGGGACGGACAGACGGCCGGGACGGACATACCAAGGCATGGCCGGGCACTCACCTCTGCATAGGGCTGGTCGGGCCGGATCTGGACCAGGGGGTCACTGCTGGCCAGCAGCTTGGCCACTTCGCTCTCCAGGCCCACCTTTCCCCAGGAGTAGCTCTGCACGGCGCAGGAGAGGGGGAACACTGCGGGAGGGAAGTCTGACAACACGGAGCAGGCCAAAATAACCCTCTGCCCCCCAAAACCCCGCCGGGCGCACCGGCGGCAGGGCTGTG